GGAGCAAGATCCCACCCTCACCTTCAGAAAGCTGCACATCCCTGAAGGCTGCCTAGGCCAGAAGAGAGCTCTTTTGGCACCTGATTCCATGCCTGGCACAGTGCATGGCGAATACCAGAATAGGTAGCTTCAAAGCCCTGCTCTGCCACTCCCACTTCTATGTAAAATGGGGACACTGGTGCCTGGCACATAAGCAGGCACATATGAGATTACGCGAGACAAGAAGGACCATGTGGTGTTCCATCTGCCTATCCATCCTCTCTGGAGCAGGGCAGGACTCTGTGCTCCCAACAACTCCCTACCCTCTTTCCCATCTGCTCCCTACGTCTTCTTGATGCAAGCCACACGGTCCCCAGTCACAGGACATCCACACATCACCAGGTCCCTAGGGAATCCAGGATCCTATTTCCACAGAAGACTGTCCCTTCTGGAAAAATTTAAATGAGCTTGCAGGCAAAAATTTATGAGCTTGCAGGACCTCCAGCCTGCCCCCTAGCATGGCAAAGGACTGTTTACTTAGAACAGGTGACTTCTTTTTAAATCAAAATTGAGATTATAATATATCTCCCAAAAAGTAGCCTGAGGAGTCATTCTTCTCCCAATCCCCTCCCTCCAAATAATAAAAAAAAACTACCTAAGCATGAACAAAACCAGCACAATGGAGCATGTTTTGCTTAACTTTTCTGGAATAGTCACCTGGTTTGGGCCCCAGAGGAGTTGCTTTTGTCCGTTCTTGTGTCTGTGAAGGTTTTCTGGGCATAGTTTATAAACCACCCAAGTTTACAAGACATGTTATTTTATTAACACAGTGATCTCTCCCCACTGCGCCTAAACAAGGAAGATGCTTACATGGCAATGTGAAGGGCACCAAATGCTTGACAGGCCCCAGGCCTAGATGTCACAGGCCAGCCCACCTGCAGCCAAGAGGGCTTGTTGAAGCTCTGGCCACCACTCTGAGCCATGAGGAGCTGGGCATAGAGGTGGCAGCGTCCTAGCCAGGGAAGTCACAGAGCCCATCTAGGGCCTGGTTCCTGGCTGTGCTAGGGCTCAATCCTGGCCCCCTTCCTGAGCACGAACAGGCTTTAGTTTTTGGCTGTCAGGGTCATGGTGGGGAGGACTCCAGGAAGGCTTCCAGAGTGGCTTCACCAGGGACCACCTCCCCGCGTCTCTTGGAGTCTAGGTCAAGGAGGGCGCACAGCTGCACGCCATCCTGGGCAAGCCGAGCCCGCAGTGTGGGTGTGGTGAGGACACGCAGCTCATGCAGCCGCTCCCAAGAGCAGGAAAAGGCGTCGGGGCCCTCACCGCAGCCCCCAGTTGGAGGCACACTGGGGTAGCCAGGGTGGGCCATCAGCTCGGCTGTCAGGGCATGGCCTGTGGGTATACCTTCCAGGGCGCGAGCCAGTGCCCCTGACACGCGGTGAGCGGACATGTGCCGGCCGCAGGTGCTCAGGCCCACGAAGGCATCCGTCCACCTGTGGATGCCGGGGTTTCAGCGGCAGGGATCAGCAGGACTGCGATGGGCAGGGCTAGGTGATGGACAGGGCTAGGCTATGGGCAGGATGGATCCGGGATGAGGGCGACATGAGTCGACGCCAGACCCCCTTGACATTGAGAAACAGACACAGCTGGCCAGGTGAACGGCCAGCAGGACCCACTGGGCCGGGCAGGGGGGCAAGGGCGGGGGCTCTCACCTCAGGCCGTGGCGGGAGAAGGGGCCCACAGCAGCCCGGGCGTCGCGCTCCACCGCGCAGGCGAAGGAGCGCGCTTGAGCCTCGAGCCACGCGCAGCTGTCCACCCCGCGCTCCAGGGGCAGCCGTGTGAAGCGCACCCCGTAGGCCTGCAGAGCCTCGGCGAACACCTGGCACACTCCTGCGGGCGGGGCGGAGTCAGGGAGGAGCAGGGCCCCCCAAGACCCGACCGGGGAGCACCAACCCACGCACCTGGGAGCACGTGAACGTGTTGGTGCCCGTCCACGTGAGTGGGGTCCCTGCCCAGTAATTCCCCGAAGCGGCTCAGCTGGGCCTCCAGCTCTTCCTGCACCTGGAAGGAGAGGACGACAGGCATCTTGAACGTCCGGGAGCAGCTACCGAGGAGGCAACGGTACCCTCGGGGCAGAGCCTTGAAGGTCATCGTGAGCATCTTCCTGCAGCCCACCTCCGCACCTGGTGCAAGTCCACGTCTCCAGCCGCCACTGCCTCCCGAAATCCCATCTTGCCGAGGAAGAAGCCTTCGGGGCTGAGCAGCGACGAGGTGCCGTGGCGGGCCGGGCCCACCGGGCGGCCCTCGGACAGGTTGGCGTGGAGGCCCGTGGGGATTTGGTGCCTGCGGGCGGAGCGCGAGCGGGAGCACGGGCGGCCGCGGGGCGGCGGCGCCCCAAGCCCGCCCTGACCCCGTAGGGGGCCGGCCCTCACCTGCGGGCCAGCTCCGCCGCGCTCTCCGCGGCCGCGCCGTTGACCAGCAGGGACACGCTGGTCACAGCCCCCGCCAGGAAGGCCTCTACGATGCCCTCATCGCGCCGCGGGCAGTAACCAAAGTCGTCCGCGGTGACCACCAGCCGCACGCGCGGCCGGGCCATGGGTGCCTCGGCGGGTGGCTGGGGACAGAGGGAAGTGGGCTGAGCAGTCCAGGCCCCGCCACTAGACGCAGCCCGAGGCCCCGCCCCAACGCACACGCCCTGACGCGGCTGCACCTCGCCTTTGTTCTCGCCACCTACAGATCCCCGCGCGGCCCTGCAGCGGCACCCCATCACCGCCCCGTGTGCTCCCCTCACCAGACCGCGGCTGGATTTATCGCTATGCGGAACTTTCAGGCAAAACTGATATTTAATATGAAAAATACAGAAAAGAAAACCTGAAGAAGAAAATCTCCCTTACCCGCCCGTCCCAGATATCGCCATCGTTCGCTTTCTGGGTAATGTCCTTGCAGTATTTTTTTCTAAGCAAATAAACACACCCAATTCCTCATCTCCCCCACCCTAAAGTGTTTTGTGTTGTTTTGAAATAATAACGATCACATCAATGTTATCTCATTCTTGAAATGTCTCATTTTTTTGATGGTGACTATGAACTTTTTCATGTTTTCATTAACTATTGTATTTCTTCTTTTTCAAGTTATTTTTCGCTGATTTTTCTTTTTTTTTTTTTTTTAAGATTTTATTTATTTATTTATTTTTCCCCCCAAAGCCCCAGTAGATAGTTGTATGTCATAGCTGCACATCCTTCTAGTTGCTGTATGTGGAACTCGGCCTCAGGATGGACAGAGAAGTGGTGCCTCGGTGCACGCCCGGGATCCGAACCCTGGGCCACCAGCATCGGAGTGCGCACACTTAACCACCAAGCCACGGGGCCGGCCCTCGCTGATTTTTCTAAGAGGAGGCTTTTTCTTGAAGGCTCTAAACAGTAAGAAAATGAAAGAAAACACATGTACCAATGGCTTCACTTGAGAAGGCATTAGCCCCTGTTTCCACTTCTTGAGATCTGTGCCAGGCCACAACTTTTACATTCATAATCTCATTTTTTTCTCTGTGGTCGGGAAAAGCTTTCCTTACTGATGACTATGCAAACAGTCACCAGGATTGATGGCCAGAGCTTTCACTGTGATGTAGCTGTTCTGATTTTCCCAATGGAAAGCGCAGTATAGGTGTCCAGCCTGTGAGATTGGGAATGTCGTTCCTGTTTTACGGATGAGAAAACTGAGGCTCAGAGAAGGGAATTATCTTGCCCAAAGTGACCCTGCCGGGAGTAGTGGAGCTGGGACTGGCCTGCAAAGCTCTGGACCTGCATCTGGGCCTGTGTTGGTCCTCTAGGCCCTGGCTGTCCCCTAGGTCAGGGGCAGAGAGGGCAGAGCCAACCTTGAGAATAGCAAATAACATGCACCTCGTGGGGCATTGTAAGGATTGGAGGCCCCATCGAGTCCTTCACCACGCTCTTGGCATAAGGATTGTTGTGTTCATTGGTGATTACTGAATTGTTGGACCTCAACCAACCATCCTTCTGCACTGCAAGGCTGATCCTGGAAGGCCAGAGGCCCCAAGGGTCTGCAGATTGGAAGGAGGAAATTGACATTTATTGAGCACCCACTGATATTAGAAATATTAGAGACTAGGGGTGAGCGCCTCAGTGCCTACCCCCAAGGACCACCATCTGGTAGACAAATAAGTACAACACCGTGTGGCAGAGTCTGGGATGGGGTTTGGGGTAATTCTGTTGGGGGTGGTGGGCCTTCTGGAAAGGCTTCTCCAAGGAGGTGACACCTGGAAGGGGGACCGCATCAGGAGGTGTTTACTGGGCAGAGGGGGAAAGGAGGGAGAGGAGGTAAAGATATACAGGGCTCTCACTGGGATGCCATGTGTGTTGTATGAAGATTTGACTTAATCTCCATACTCCCATATGGAAGGACACTCAACTCCATTTACAGAGGAGGAGCAGATGATCAGAGAGGTTGAGTCACACCGGCAGGAAACAGCAGAGCTAGGAATTCAAGCTAGATCTGTGACTTAGAGCCGACTTTCCGCTGTGCTCAAGGACACCGCAGAGAGGAGAGAGCTCAAGACAGACCCTGGGGTCGTCCATGCTGGGCGATGGGACTACCCTGGAAAGGAATAGTCAGAGAGCAGGAGGCCCAGGACAATGCAGCGACCAGAGAGAAGCCGAGGAAGGTGGTTGTGTCACCAGGAAACTCGTGGTTTTCTCCCTTAGGCTCCCCTCAGGGCAGGTGCGGAGAGCGGATGGAGCCCCAGCCTCCGGGCTCTTCCTGGCTGGGCGGAGCCGGTCCGCAGCATCTCCAAACCCCCTGCTCTCACCGCGAATGTGGGCGGGGCAAAGCCACGTAAAGTGGGGGAGGAGCCAATGTGGGCCCCGCCCCAACCATTGTGTCGGGGGAGCTAGAGGGTGAATGGTCCGATGCGAGCCATTCAGGATGCGGCATGCAAATGAGCAAGCGGGCTGCCTTGGGACGACCTCGGAGAGCGGTGTCGCCACCCTCCAGCGGGCACAGACGGGCGCCGAGCGAGGCGCGGGGACTCCGGTGAGTGGGTCGGCTCTGGTCCAGGGGCGGAGGCCAGGGCGCCTGGGGTCCGGGAGGAGGGAGGGGTGGACACACCCAGGCCCAGAGACCGTGGGAGACAGGATGCGGACGTCCGCGGGGACCCCACCCCCGACGACTCTGGACACGGACGGTGCGGAGACGCCCAGGGGACTCCCAGCAGAGGAAGGGCCAGACACGCGAAGGACGTGGGGTGCGGGGAGCTAGGGACCCGCAGACCCCGGGGCCACCGACGCAGTGGCCAACGGACGGACGCAGAATTGGACTCATGGAGGCCTGGAGGGACCCTCACGCCATCTCCCCACCTAGCGCAGAGAGGAATCCGCGGCTGCATTTCGGAAGCGAAGAGAGGAGGTGGGCAGCGGGCCGGGCCACCCGCACCATGGCCCGCTGCCGCCACCATTCGGGATACTTGGCGGACGACGAGGCGGGCCACACCGCGGCCGTGGCACGGGTAAGTGTGCCCGGCAGGCCCCGACTCTGAGGTCCCCAACATGTTTCCCACCAGCTCTGGGCCCCAGATCACAGCTCCCCTTTCCCATTTCCTATTGACTTCCTCTCTGGGCCTCTTAGTGAGGTTCTTATCACCTTGACCCCTCCTCTGACCCCTTGCTGGGCCCTAGTCACCCTCAGTTTTATTCCATGTCCCCCTGACCTCCAGCGGCCTGGGAGGGGTTTGGTGGACTGGAACCCCAGAGTGGGAGCATGGAGTCTACTCAGGACCTAGGGCTCAAGTTGCAGAAGCAGCCACCGGTGGGCAGGGCTCAGGACCACAGGTGGTCTGTGCAGCCCAGCAGTGGAGACAGGGCTAGCCTGCTCTAGGACAGAGGAGGAGCCTGCGCCAGCCTCAGAGGGGTTTTGTGATTGCCCATTCACACCCTGTGTGAGGGCAGAAGCGGGCTTTCATGCTCCCCGGCCAGGTCTTGTACATGAAATGTGTGTGTCAGAGAAGCTTCAGAGCAACCCTAAATAGATCCCCACTTTGCAGAAGAGGAAATTGGACCTCAAGAAGGGCCATCGTGCCCATGGTCACACAGCCTGTGACAGAGCCAAACCCAGGGCTGCCTGACTCCAAAACACAGCACCCTCCACTGCCCAGTCTCCACCCAGCTCCTGGTGCCCTAGGAGGAGCCCAGGAACCCCTCCCCCTGTGGGGCATCCCTCCCCACTCTGACATGCCTGTCTGCTCAGGTACAGCCACCCAAGAAGCCACTGTTCCCGGAAATGGGGCAAGCCTCCAAGCTGTGCCACATGCCACATCCACCGTCGACATATGGCCCCTCAGGCAGCTCAGGGCTCCGCGGCCACCGCCGAAACCCGAGGGACGCTCGGCCCTTTGGCAGCTTTCTGGATTTCCTTGTCGAGGGCCAGGTCCTGGACAGCCTGCAGACGGTGGTAGAGGAAGCAACTGAGCGCATGGCCACTGTGAAGACAGAGGCTGGGGTGCCGCTGGTGGAGGTGCAGGACCCCATAGAGGTGCCACGGGGGGGGCGGCGGGTGCGTGCCCGGCCCAGCCTCAGTACCGTGCACCGGCATCGTGCCCAGCCCAGCCTCTGCACCGGGTGCCCCAACAACTACCCATCCTGCTCCAGCTCCATGTCCAACTCCCATAGCAGTTTCACACCCGGCTGGCTGGGCTCCCACGGCCGGGACAGTGACCTGGGGGCCCGAGGCTTGGGCCCACTGCCACCCATGAGGGACAAACTCCTGCTAGAGAAGAACCTCAAACGGCTGCTGCGGCTGGAGAACAGAGGGGTGAGATCTGGGGCCATGGCCCAGGTGGGTGGGATGGACCCCAGTCCAGAGCCGAGGGCCAGGGCAAGGCCTGGCTTGGCTACTCCTGGACGCCTCTGAGAGTCTCCTTCTCTCTGCAGAAAGGCCTGGGGCAGTCCTGCTCCCAGAGGAACTCTCTGCTCTGGGACTCGCTGGGCAGCCAGGCCAGCAGCCAGTGGACCCCGGAACAGCCCCTGTCCTGGTTCTCAGGCCTGCTGGGCTCGAGCTCGGGCACGCCTGAGGCGTCAGAGCTGGGATATAGAGAGCCAGAGCTGATCTTCCTCAAGCGGGAGTTCAACAAGGAGATCAAGTCCTTGCTAAGCCAGCCGGAGTCCTTCGACCTGCCTGGTTACTGTTCACTCCTCGAGCCCCATCGGACCCTGGACTTCCTGGCCGAGCACCACCTCTTCCCCGCCTTGCAGAGTGTGGTCAGCCAGGCTGTGGAAAAGCTTAGCGGTGCCCGCCGCCACGATGGCTGCCCTCTCTTCCCGTCAGAATGGGAGCCCACCACACAGCCCAACTCTGACCCCACAGCAGGCTCCAAGCCAGCCACACCCACTGAGGAGGAGGAGCTCTGCGATTCTCTCCCCACCACGCCCTCCAGCCTCAGGATGGTTGGCAGAAAGAGCGCCAAATACGGAGGACGGGGCAAACTCAAGGAAGGTGGTTCCCCTGTGTCTAGTGCCCAAGTAGCCACCAGGCTCAGGCTCAAGGTGACACCCACAGAAGAGCACAAAGTCCCCTCACCCCACCCTAGGCAAGAGGTGCCCAACCAGGACCCTGAAGTACAGAGACCACCCATGCCTGCTTCTGGGCCCCTGAGCTCCAGCCAAAAGGCCCAGCCCCGGCGGAGCCTGCATCGCAGTCTGCCTGCCCCGAGGATCATGGTGGAAGTGCCCTTTGGCCAGACCCCCCTCACTACCGGGGTCCCAGCTCTGCTTGCCTCCCCTGCCCTCTCTCCTCCCACCACCACCCTGTGTTCACACCACTCACCTCCTTGGTAAGAAGCTTCTCCCCATCTCCTGCTTCACTGTATCTGGAGATGACCTCCTCAAGGGTGGGGCTGGGGGGCTTAGGGACGGGTTTGCAGGGGAAGGGCTCCTTTGGCTACCACTCCTAGCGGCCACTGTCACCAGCAGGTGCCCAAGGTCCAAGTCTCTTGCCTTGCTCTGTGGAAACCACCTGAGCAGGGGACAAGCTGATGGGGGACCAGGAAACCTGGCCTAGCTACTGCCAGGTGTTGTCAAAGATGAATAAAGGCATTTTTTATTCTGGGTATTTTTTTAACGTTTGCATGTGAATCTTCGAGGCCCTCCCACGTGGGGAGGGTCCTGTCCCTTGTGGACGGCTGCTTGAGCCCAGAGTGGGGCCCTGCATACTAGGTCTAGCTCCCTCTGGCCCCGCTGCCTAGGACAGGACTCACCAGCGTGTCCCTGCTGAAAGGGAGTTGCTCAGGGAGGGTACAGAGAAGACGTAGGTGGCTTCACCTGGTGAGTCCCGGCACAGCCCCCGACACTGCTCTCACCCATCAAGGCCCAGGCATGCTTCTTCCCTCCTCTGAACCCTGGCCTGGGCAAGAACCTTCTGGAGCCCAGGTTGTACAGGCTCTGGTTTGGCTAACGCTGTGACCAAGGTGACCGGCCTTGCCCCAGGCCTGACTGGTGTGGCTGGTGTGACGACGGTGTGGTAAGTGTGAGGGTTGGCTGACATGCACGACTTGTGCTCAACTATTGACTGGGACAGCACAGCAGTTGTGGTGAGGCCGTGACCTTAGTGCAACAGGCATGGCGTCCATGTGGGTGATGTGGAGGGTGCTCTGGGTGAGGAGGGGGGTCCCAGGGCAGCAGGAGTGGCATGACGTGTCTGCCTTTCCCTCCCCGGCTGCTGCACAGAGCCCCGATCACAAGTTCTTGAAGAAGAAGCCGCTGCCCTCCATCTCGTCCAAGTCCACCGTGTCCCACCTCTCCAGCCCCTGGTACGAGGAGCTCGTCACCTACTTGATGGAGCAGTCTGTCTCCTTGCTCATCTACAAGTACAAGTTTGAGAAGAACCTTACCAAGCAGCTGGGCTTCATCTCCTTCCCTGTCACCGAGGCGCTCATGGATCTCTTCCTGGGCTTCAAGAAGGTGAAGGGCTCCCGCATCCGCCTGTCTTCGAAGATTGACTGGACCTGCCTGCTGCGCAAGCTGGAGGAGGAGGAATGGGCCCAGCCAGTGTCCTGGCAGACCCAGCGAGACGCCTCCCACCGTGGCGCCTCCCAGTGCAGCACCAAGTCCCCCTCCATGCTGCCCAAGCCAGCCGCTAACATGGGCCAGGACGAGGCCACGGAGCCCGGCCTTGATGCTGAGTTGGCGGGCCTTCAGTGGCTCACTCCTCAGGGGGATACTACAGCTGAGGAGCAGGAGCCCACGAGCCCGCCGGGGCCCAAGCTCTCCGCGTCCTCCAGCACTGGCCTGGGATCCAAGCATTCTGAGCAGGCAGAGGACACGGAGGAGAGCCGGAGCAGTGAGGACGGTGATGTGGATGATGACGATGACTTCTTTGGGGACCAGGGTAAGCCCCAGAGCCCCCCCCCCAAGCCTCAAGTGGAGGTCAAGGTCAGCCACTTCACAGACGTGGGCCACGGTGACCCCCCGTGAAGCCCCCGGTAAGCTGCACTGAGCACTCAATTCCCTGCTCCTCCTCCTGCTCCTCTGAACGCTGCCCACCCAGCCGGCCCCTGCCCTGAGCAAAGGTCAAAACAGGTTGAATGCCCCCAGGAGCTCTGCTGTGCCTCTCAGGGGAGCCAATGGGGGAAATAAAGCTTGTGTTGATGGAGTGCGGTTTTCTTGTCCAGAGGTTTCAGCCTCCCTTCCACACACCTGTGCACCTGCCCTCGAGTAACACCTCCAGCAGGCCAGGTCTGGCCGCAGCTGGCCTTCATGACAGCTGTCAGTGTTGTGACTCCCATGATCTCACACACTCTGCTTGAACACAAGTCCCTGCTCCTGGCTTTTCTGCACCCCAGTCTGCATCTTCCTGGCTCTTCAAGCCTTTTAGGATTCGTGGTCCCCCTCCGTCACGGCCCCATGCATCAAGGCTCCTGCTTCCAGAGGGCTCCTCCTCTGCCACTCTGCCAGGGTGCTCCCCGCTCCCTTTGACATTCCACACCCTCACGTTCTGACTGAGGAACCATGCATCCACCCTTTCCTGCTGCTCCCGTGGCGACCTGTCTTCCTAGTTTGTATCTCCCAGCCCCAACTCCTGAATCTGGAGGTTTCATGCCAGGTCACATGGGGGCTGCTGGTCAGTCAAGATGTGGATTGGCTGCCCCACACTGGCCACGTGACTACCCCTCCTGCAGCAGCCCTGAGTGGGCAGCTCTGTCTAGAAGGGTCTATGGGCACGGCTGGTGCTGTGATTGGCAGGTCTCATCTCCAAGGTTCTCCTGGGGCTTCTGGCCATCCTGTGCCACCAGCTCAGCACCCTCCTTTCCTCTCCCCTTCTAGGGCAGCCTGTTTGTTCCCCATTCAGGCATCTTCACCCAGGGAGCAGCTCAACCCCTCCCCCCACCACCCTGCCCCTGTGGCTGAGAAAATATTTGAAGATGCTCCTCTCTGTCTCACTGTGCAGTCGCCATTGTGGGGAGCCTGGTGGGTCTCTACTGCCTCCCCCTGGAGCCCACTGGGGTGCACAGAGGCCAGGCCTGCTCGACCCGGCCTGGGTGTGCTCAGTGGCCCACGGGCGAGCACACAGCAACTGTAGAGCTTCCTCTGGGGCCAAGCAGGGAGGACTTTCCACACCACACCCCTGCCCTGAGATTCAGGAAGGAGGACTTGCTCCCCTGCCCGTTAGAGGGACCAGGGCCTAAGGTGAGGGGGAGTCAGGGACCAATTTTTCCATAGAGCTCTTTTGGCAAGGATCTTTTAGGGCACATGCTCAGCTTGTAATGCCCATTCCCTGAGGCCACCTGCTGCCACCACTACCACAATGTACAGCCACGACAGCCGTTTTCATACCTTATTGCCATAGTGCCTGGCCACAGTTGATCGGAGCTGGGCCAATCAGGTTCTTTCTCGGGAGCCTGCAATGGGGATGGACTGGAAGATTCTGGTTCAGTTTGCACCAACTGCTGAAGACAAGTGTGAATGGTGTGGAGCAGCCATCCTCCACTCTTCTCACAGAGGCAGGAAATCCTGTCAGCAGAAAGGAGCCAAGAGGGGAGTCCGAAGGCTCCGAGAGACAGCAGCTGCTGTGATACCCGCTGGCCTCCCAGGTCCCGCTGCCAAGTCCTCAAGGGGGAAGAGAAGAATATCCCCACCCCAGAGGCAGAGGCACCTGTCTAGGGACTGTCCCTCGGGTGGCAGTAGCCCCTGTGGGAACCATTGGCACATGCTGCTAGAGACTTCTGACCTTAGCTCCTGTTGCAGGTGTCTGTTGCTTTGTAACAGACCACTCCGAGACTTAAGTGGCTTCAAACAAAATCGTCGATTCCCATGATGCTGGGGTTTGACAGGCTCAGCTGGCAGTGGTGTAGGCAGTCGCCTGTGTGGCTGCTTTCAGCCGGCGGCTGGGCTGAAGCTGGAACATCCCACGTGACCTCTCCCCCTCCAGAGTTTCTTTCTGCGCGGCCCCTGACCATTCAGTCGCCTAGCCTGCACTTCCTTACAGCACAGGGCAGCAGCTGGCTTCCGAGAGGGAGGAAGCAAGAACCACCGGCGCTCTTGCAGCCTGTGCTCAGAAGTCCCAAAACAGCACTTTTGTGGCATTCTCTGGGCAAAGTGAATCACAATGCTTGCCCAGATTCAAGGGGAGGGGAGATGGACTCCATGTCTTGAGGAGAGGAGCAGCTGGCACTCACAGGGATGGGAGAAATTGTTTGTAGCCGTATTTGGAGACTAGCTACCTCCCCTCCACACACACCGCACCCCCATAGCTGATTGCACCTTGAGCAGTCCCTGGAACCAAGTTGAATAGATCAGATTCTCTCTTGAGAATCTGAACCTGAAGACAAACTGGCCGGAAGGTGGAGAGCCCTGGAGATGCCATAATTGGCGCTAAGCATCTGCCTAGAGGATGAGCTGGGGAAGGTGGTCTGCAGGAGGAGACAGGAAAAGGGAACAGCTACGAAAAGCCCTGAGGCCCCAAGAGAGTCAAGGGAAAGCCATATAGGCTTCCCCTACTCCAGTTCTGGGGTCTCTGCTGTACTTGGAATCCTGTCTTTGCTGGTCAGGGAGATTGCCTGCTGCGTCATCTGGTCCTATGTGCAAGAGGAAGTCATTGGCAGTTTTCGGCAGGTGCTTGTCATGATCTGATTTATGCTTTTTATTTTTTATATTTTTTTTGCTGAGGAAGATTCACCCTGAGCTAACAGATGTTGCCAATCTTCCTTTTTTTGCTTAAGGAAGATTTGCCCTGAGCTCTCATCTGTGCCCATCTTCCTCTATTTTGTATGCGGGTCACAGCCCCAGCATGGCTGCTGCTGAGTGGTGTAGGTCCAAGTCTGGAACTGAACCCCAGGCTTTGAAGCAGAGCACACCAGGCCCGGCCTGGTGACATAGTGGTCAAGTTCACGTGCTCCCCTTCAGTGGCCTGGGGTTTGCAGGTTTGAATCCTGGGCATGGACCTACGCACCGCTTATCAAGCCATGCTGTGGCAGTGTCCCACATAAAATAGAGGAAGATGGGTACAGCTGTTAGCTCAGGGCCGATCTTCCTCAGCAAAAAAAAAAAAAAAAAGAGGAGGATTGGCAACAGATGTTAGCTCAGGGCTAATCTTCCTCACAAAAACAAACAAACAAAACAAAAAACAAAAAAAAGCAGAGCACACAGAACTTAACCACTAGGCCACGGGGCCAGCCCTGATTTATGCCTTTTAAAGAAGGCGTAAATCGCTTTTCTGTGTGGAGAAAGTCTTGAAGGGGCCCAAGCAGTGGAAGCAAGGAAATCTGTTAGGAGGTGGAGGTAGATATCTGGCAGGGAGAAGGGGTCGCTTGGATTAGGGTGGTGATAGGGGGACACAGGAGAGGTGCCTCACAGTTTGTTTTGGGGTCAGAGCCATCAAGACATGTTGGATTAGATGTGAGGAGTGCAGTAAAGAGAGGAAACAAAGGTGAATCCCACGTTTTGGGCTTGAGCAACTGCCATTACTGAGACTTGGAAGCCGGGGGGCAGAGCAGTTTGAGGGAGGAGACCAGGATTCTCCTGGTCTGGACATGTTCAGTTTGGGATGCTGTTGGGATATCCAAGAGGACATATCCATTGCTTCCCAGATTGTACTCTAGCCCTCCACCCTGGATTGGAGGCCCCTCAAGTGCAGGGTCTGCCAAATCCAGGGCAAATCTTTAGCAATTTAGACACTCTAAGCACCGAAAAAATCAAGGTGACTTATCCCATATATAATTCAAAGTAAAAACAATATTAAACACAAAAACCCTAAAATAACATGTTGCTGTAATAGAATGGCCCTACTCTGGATTTTCTGAATGCAAAATTCTAGATGATTTAATTAAACATAATCTTTTCTCCCTGCTTTGCTAGTGCCCCAGGTGCATGGGTAGGTCAGCCTATTGGGTAATGTAGCCCAGAGCCCTCCCCTGTGGCCCTCAGCACAGGGCCTGGAGTGAAGCCAACGTAAGAATGTTCCATGAATGAATAAATGAACAGTGGTGCAAGTTTCCCCCCCTTGAGCAGACAGCCCTCTGAGAAGGCAGTCAGAAGGAGGACCCACTCATGTCCCAGAAACCTGGGACACACAGTCACAGGCTTGGTTCCCACAGTCGTTTGGTCTCCCAGGGCTCTGGTTTTCTAAGACAGCTTTGGGGCTTTGGTGACTTTCTGGTGCGAACATGCTGTTATCCTCAACACCACAGCTCCCTGCTGCCCTCTGCTGCCCAATGGCCTAGTGACCATGGGATTCTGTCATGAAAGGAGTCAGTGATGGCCAAGGGAATTCAGGGACCCCAGGGTCCAGGGACTGAGGTGACCCAATGTCAGAGACAGGGCAATGACCGAGTGACTGGGGTCCGGGGACTGAAGGACCAGGGGATTCAGTATCTGAGATCCGTCGACTTTGTGACCACAAAATCTAGTGGTCGAGCAACCTCAAGACCCTGTAGCTGCGGACCCAGGGTCCGAGGGAGAGACTTGATTAAGGGCCTGGGGATCTAGGATTAACAGGCTTCGTGATCACGTGCCCGCAGGGTCCTTGGACCCGAGCCAGGGGTCCCAGGGGCGCAGCTGCCTCTGAGTGGTGTGTCCCCACTTACGACCCCTCGCGGGCGGCTCTCCCACCGCTGGGTGCCGCACCAGCCTTCCCTTGGTATTCATTGGTGAATCCTCCGAAGCGTGGACCAATCAAAACCTTCCTCGTGTCTCCAAGCCCCCTCCCAGCCCCGGCTCTCGAAAGCTGGGGGCGGGTCCCCTCCACGCCGACCCAATGACAGTGCAGGTGGAGCGCCGTGCGCGCCGGTGATTGGCTGTCCCGGCGGGCTCTATCAGGGCTGGATTGGCCGGCGGCGAGGACGGAAGCGGCCCAAGGGCCCCAGCTGCCCGAGCCCGGCCGGGGCGATGTGGAGCGTGGGCCGCGGCCGAGCTGCCGGACCGGCGGTACTGGGGCTGCTGTTGGTGCTCTCGGTGCCGGTCAGCCGTGCCGCCAAGAC